TTTCAAGGGAGATAAAAGTGGGTGCTTATCAGCCTTATCCCGAAAGACTGTGGCAGACTTCTGTTGGGCTCTTCATAAACTCTTTGGGACTCATTACAGCTGTGAATGCATATAATTCACAGCCGTTGAAATAAAAACAAGGTTTTTGGAAATAGCATGTGATAGTCATCTTCAGGGTAGGATTAATGTCATGGACAGTTCTGGTTCCACCTCCTTGGATGATGTTATCTTGGCCCTTGAAAAATATGATGTTGGACCCCCCCCCCCAGTTGAGAAAAGTGTCCTGTTCCTGCTTTTATTTATGGAAGTTCTTGAATGGAAGACTCTAAAACAGGGGTATCAAACTTGATTTCATTGAGGGCCACATTAGGGTTGTATTTGACCTCGGGGCGCCAGGGTGGGCATGGCCAGTTCAACGTCACTTGTGTCTGAGGTGCCTGTCATGGCTTGAGTGCTTGGCCAGTGAAAACGGGCTCCTGAGCTCCGTTTTCACCCACGATGGCCTCTTGCAACCCTTTGCTAGTGAAAACAGTTTGGAAGGGCCAACCGTGGTCCTCACAAGCTCCCTTTTCACTGGCAGAAGCACCATGGACCAGTTCTCTGTTTCAAGGGTGATCCCACAGGCCATATCTAAGCACCCGTGGGCCAGATTTGGCCGCTGGGCCTTAAGTTTGACAACCCTGCTTTAAGAAATCCCTGGGCTATAAGCTAAACTGAAAATAAAATAAAATAATCCCAAAAGAAAGCAGTGGCATTAAGTGTTTGTCTGATGGTCAACAAAATCATATAAATCAGTCTATGGCTGTGATAGCAAACCTATGGCACAAGTGTTGGAAGTGATACGCAGAGCCATTTCTGCCAGCATATGAGCCATCACCCGGAACAGATCCACAGCGAATGCGCCCACGCCTCCTACCATCCAGCTGATTGTTGGGTATCTGCCGTGCATACGCAGGGGGCGGGTTGCATGCAGGGGCATGCATGCAGTGCGTGTTGGGGAGGACATGTGCACATGCGCAGGGGGTGGAGGATTGCACAAGCATTGCATTATGGGTGCAGGCAGGGGTGGGATTCAAATTTTTTTTAACAACCAGTTCTGTGGGCATGGCTTAGGTGGTAGGCGTGGCTTGGTGGTCCTGTTATTGGCTGGCTGTGGCCAACTCAATATCACTCACATCGAGGCACGCATCTCCTCACCTGGCCTCTCATGACTGTGGGGATGCTGCAACAGTCGTAAGTTTGAAAAATGGTCATAAGTCACTTTTTTCCGTGCCATTGTAACTTTGAATGGTCACTCCACACAAGCAAAGTACCAGCAAAGGATGGGAAAAAACTCCAGAGAAGTTCCTAAGACAGGAAGTCTAGCCCTGCCAAGAATGTAATAAGGGTTAACAGAGAAGCAGTTTCTGTGAGCAACACCAGAATGTTTCCTTCCTGCCTTCCTTACAGGATTAGGCCAGTAATTTCTTCTAACAACCGGTTCTCTGAACTGCTTAGAATGTTAACAACCAGTTCTAACTAATAGGTGCAAACTGGTAGAATCCCATCCCTGGGTGCAGGCATTCATGCACACTTTCGGCAAGCGACGATGACAAGGTTAGCCATCACAGGTCTATGACATCCATAAGAACTGAGCCCAACTCAAGGAAGACTTCCCGCTAAAGAGCCAATTTGTTAAGATTAAGGTGCTGGCCTAGAAACCAGGAGGCTGTAAGTTCTTGTCCTGCCTTAGGTATGAATAGACCTAGTGTGACTTTGGGCCAGTCACTCTCTCTCTCATCCCAACTCAATTCACAGGGTTGTTGTTGTTGCGGGCAAAATAGGAGGGTGAAGGAATATTAAGTATGTTCACCACCTTGAGATATTTATAAAAATAATAAAGATGGGATATAAATACTTAAATTAAAAATAAATCAAAATAAGTCAACTGGAGATTTGTAGCTTTCCTGGTTTTGCAAAAAGGTCACACCTAGCATCCAGGCTTGGATTACGCTTTTGTTTTGTTTTTAAAAAAATGTAATATCTTCATCTCGACCTTCTGAATTATATCTTGGCCAGCCAGAAATTCTGGTCATGTGAGCCCTTCTAATCCTTAAATCCACTTCGTTCCTGATAAGGAGAGTGAATCAAGGAAGATAGGAACCACCTCTTATTCTAAAGTCCAGATTAAAAGGCAGAGGTGGGAGGTGAAGGAGTGGGGCGGGGGGTATTTTAAAAAGAGCTGTTGGGTTCTTGCACAGATCGATCCCAGCCAACGATCAGTAGGATACTTAGAAGAAGCAGGATGAGACTCTGCCATGAAAGCTTGCCTGTTTAATTAGAAACTGGGTGTATCAGTCCTCTAAGATGACTAATGCTGTATGCATGTAAGGTGCCCTTCAGCTATATATTCCTGAAACAAATGACCAAGTCTGTCAGCTGTATCTTTAAAGATGCAGTGTGTACTTTTAAAAATGTTTGTTTTATACTAAAGTTGCAACAACTTTCTCTCTGCTGGAACAATGTTGCAGTTGGACATAGCTGGCATTCCAAGCCACAAAACAAGGTATTTTTTTTAATTAGAAAACATCCAACTCTCTTCCGGGTTAGGTGGCATGTACATGCAGGCGGCACACTATACCTGGTTTTATGTACCATGCACATCGGAAAATGTGGTGGAGTAATCCATGGTGAACTTAGGTGTGTCTTGCACGCATTGCCCATGGTAAGTGTGTCTTCTTAGCCACCAGGAGAGATCTAAAATGAAACCACTGTCTTTTTCTGGATCTGTTCCTTCCAAGCAAAGAAGAACGCAAGTTTAAACAAGTTTAGTACTTTCCCCTACTTTAGACCAGGGGTCCCCAAACTTGGCAAGTTTAAGACTTGTGGACTTCAACTCCCAGAATTCTCCAGCCAGCTATGGGAGTTGGGAGTTGAAGTCCACAAGTCTTAAACTTGCCAAGTTTGGAGAGCTTTGCTTTAGACTATCAGGGAAGGCTCAGTTTAGACCAGGGGTCTTCAAACTTGACAGCTTTAAGACATGTGGACTTCAACTCCCAGAATTCCTCCCCCAGTCATGTTAGCTCAGGAATTCTGGGAGTTGAAGTCCACAAGACTTAAACTTGCCAAATTTGGAGAGTCTTGGTTTAGAGGATGGGAATTGTAGTTCAAAGTATCTAAACTGGAGCAGAGCGGTGGAGAAAAGGGTGAAACACACACACACACCAAACCAGTGTTTTTCAACTTCAGCACCCTGAAGAAATATGGACTTCAATTCCCACAATCCCCGATGCTGGCTGGGGGAATTCTGGGAATGGAAGTCCACATATCTTCAAGGGGCTGCAGTTGCGAAATGCGGTTCAACAACACTTTTATTTCCAAGGCCAACAAGAATACAGGCAGTCCTCAACTTATGACTACAACTGAACCCATCATTTCTGTGGCTTGAGACATTTGTTAAGGGCGTTTTGCCCCATTTTACTGCCTTTCTTGTCATCGTGGTTATCGCTGCAGTTGTTAAGTTAGTCACTTAGTTGTTAAGTGAATCTGGCTTTCCCACATGGACTTTGCTTGAAAAGAAAGTCACAAAAGACCCCAGAACACTGCAAACAATCATTAAATAGGAATCAGTTGCCAAGCATCTGAATTGTGATCACATGACCATGTGGATGCTGCAATGGTCATAAGTGGGGAAAACTTTTTTCAGTACCATTGTCATTTTGAACGGTTACTAAACGAACAGTTGTAAGTCAAAGACTACTAATATTGGTCCAATGGCATCATTCCTGTGGAAGGGAAGGATCAACAGGCTTGGAACGGGGCGGAGGAGAAATACCCCCAAATGGCAGAAGCCCCAGAAATGTTGGGGAAAGACAGATAACAGATAATCAGAGTTGGAAGGGACCTTGTAGGTCATCTAGTCCAACCCCTGCCCAAGCAGGAGACCCTACACCATTTCTGACGGATGGAGTCTAATCTCTTATTGAAAGTCTCAAGTGGTGTCGCTCCCACAACTTCGGAGGGCAACTTCTGTTCCATGGGTTGATTGTTCTCACTGTCAGAAAGTTTCTCCTTATTTCCAAGTTGAATCTCTCCTTGTTCAGTTTCCATCCATTATTCCTTGTCTGGCCTTCAGGTGCTTTAGAAAATAGCTTGACCCCCTCCTCTCTGGGGCAGCCCCTCATATATTGGAAGATGCAATCCTGTCTCCCCTGGTTCTTCTGTTCATTACTCTAGCCATTTCCAAATGGTGAGAGCAATTAACCAATGGAACAGCTTGCCTTCAGAAGTTATGGGTGCTCCTGTAGGTCATCTAGTCAACCCCCACCCAAGCAGGAGACCTTACACCATTTATGACAGATGGGAGTCCAATATCTTTCGAAAGCTTCCAGTAATGGCGCTCCCACAACTTTCGAAGGCAACTTCTGTTCTATGGGTTGATTGTTCTCACGGTCAGAAAGTTTCTCCTTATTCTCAGGTTGAATCTCTCCTTGATCAGTTTCCATCCATTGTTCCTTGTCTGACCTTCGGGTTCTTTGGAAAATAGACTGACCCCTTGGCGTGAGAAGAGAACCCCCAAAAGGCACTGTGAAGCACACGCACAAACACACACACAATTCAGCGCCGGCAGCTCCGTAGCACCCGCCTCGGGTGAACATCCGGCGCTGGTGCGGACCCACGAAGGCGGCATCCTGGGCGGCCAAGTCCTTTCCCATCCCGGGCAGGGGAAGAGAGCGAGAGGCCGTCGGAGCAGGTGATCCCGCCCGAACAGAGGCGGAGAGCGCCCGCCCTTTGCTCGTCTCGCTGCCCTCGGTGGAAGGCGGGCCCGTTGGAGTTCCCAAAGCTGCCCGGGCGGCGGCGGCAGCGGCGGCTGGAGAATTAACTTGGGCAGAGAGAAAAGCGGGAAGGCGCAGCGGCGGCGGCGGCGGAGCAGCCAGCGAGCCAGGAACCGGGTTAACACCCCCCCACCCCACCCCCCAACTATGGCAGGCGAGCTGGAGGCCACCGAGACCGGCGGAGGCTGAAGCGCGGAGCCCGGGCTCGGCCATCAACAGCAGGCGGAGGAGGAGGAGGAGGCGAGGCTCTCCCCACCCCTCCAGTCCAGCCCCGGCATGGCTCGCTGGATCCCCACCAAGCGGGAGAAATATGGCGTGGGTGAGTACCCGGGGGCCACTCTGAGCTTGCCCCCCGCCCCCTGTTTCCCACGTGCAGAGATGCGTGTCGCCGTCCCGTCCCTCTGCCTGGAACTTTCCCATGTAGTCCACAGATTGTCTGCGGGGCGGATCTCCCTCCCTCCCTCTCTCTCTCTCTCTCTCCCTCCTTTTCTTCCTCCCATCAGCTCGCCTCTTTCTGTTCCTTTTCTGTCCTCCTTCCTGCTTGGCCTGAAGAAGGTTTCTCTCTCTCTCCCGCTCTGATATTCGGCCGCCGGAAGGATTCCGGTTTCGGCTGCGAATCCCAGTCGGTTCGCAGCCGGGGAATGGGAAACGAGACCCCACCCTCAGCTGCCTTTTTTTCGGCGGAAGAAAAACGCCTTTTCTTCACCCCCACCTTCCTTTCTGCAGCCTCTTTTTTGTTTTTTTCAACTTTGCCAAAGCGTCTTCCAGCCTGGCAGGGCTCACTGTTCCCATCATCCCCAGCCATCAGGTAGAGAGAGATGGGATTTGGAGGGAGAGTTGGAATCAACTGTCCATCCACCCACCCGTTGGCTGGTTAGTTATCCTTTAAGGTTCTTCTTGCATAGCTCAGACGGGGGTGGGGGGGGGAATAGATTGTTTTTGTCCATAGAGAAGAGTATTTGTAGCTCGGGGGTTAACATTAGGAGTGCTCGAGGTTCTTCTCCGAGCTTGGTTGTTTTCCTGCACATTACCCAAACTAGCCAACATCATCAGCCTTTGAAGCTCAGTATAAGAGAGTCATATGCAGCCCCACCGTTTCTGTGGTCTGGTTTGCTGTGCGTGTAGTTTGCTTTTGCAAATAATTGTTTTATACATTGCAACGTAGACTGATGATGTTACCTGGTTGGGTAATGAAACATCTCCAAGCAAACAAGCCCAGAGAGCACAAGGACCCCCCCCCATTGTTTTGTTTTCCTTCTTGCCCCCACCCCCACCCCATTGGGATTTTTTTTTAGTGGCAGGGGCTGCAAAGAAAGAAAAGGGGTGTGTGTGTGTGTTGGAATATTGTTTACGGTGGCTTAATTAACCTCCCCTGCAGAGGTGGCACAGCCTGATGGGAAGCACAGAAAGGCTGTCAGCCTCGGCCATAAATTGTGACATCCGATTAATTAATAGGGAGTGCAGAGGTGGGCTGGTTGGGGGCGTGTGTGTGTGTTTGATGTGAAAGGTTGTGTACTCAAACAGTGGACCCTTGGCCTTCATGCTAGGCCATCTTGCCACCCCAACCAATCCATCAGAATTTAAATCGCGCTCTGCACAATCCTTCTCCATAAGACAGCTTAGCAGAATAACAAGAGATGGAAGGGACTTTGGAGGTCTTCTAGTCCAGCCCTCTGCTCAAGCAGGAAACCCTATATGCCATTTCAGACAAAGGGGTGGCTCAGTCTCTTCTTCAAGACCTCTGGTGTTGGAGCACCCATGATTTCTGAAGGCAAGCTGTTCCACTGATTCATTGCTGTAACTGTCAGCTAAATTCTCCTTAGAAGAATGTTCTCCTTTTTCTACCCATCCCCCATGGAGAGTTTTGTGTGCAGTTCCTGGATCTAGCCTGATGAGCTGTAGTTATCTTGTGTTTTCTCAGAACTCAGGGTCACTTTTAGCCCAGACAAGACCTGGACATTCCTTCTCCTTCTATTTTTCTTTCACCATCACGTTTACTTTATTATATCTAGCTTTTTCTTCTGAGAGCCGGTGGCTTGGAAATCAAGGTGGGTAGCGACTCGAGGCAGTTAGGCCAAAATGAAGAAGACGTGTGTCACCTTCTGGTTCTTTCCTCAAATGAAGGATCCTGGGGCTTAGGAGCAGTTTCCAAGCCAGTAGCAGCTACTCGTGGATGACTGAGATATTTGCAATATCAGCAGCTCTTTGATTCACACGTTGTGTAATAATTCCACTGGAAATCATAAATAGGCCTGAAGCTGAATATTTCCCCCACCGAATATTTCTCTTTCAAGTTTTAAGGGCCGAACAAGGAAGCCTGAATTCAGGTTCATAATAAGTCAGCACTTGCTAGCTGAGGCTGGGCATTTACTGTTCTCCAACCTGATCGGTCTTAAAGGGTTGCAGTGAAAATCAAAGCAGGGTTGGAGTAGCTTTTTTTTTTTTGGCTATGGTTCTTAAGTGAATCACTGCAAATCCAACTCCTCTCATTGACTTTGCTTGTGGGAAGTCTGCTAAGATTGCAAATGGCCAGCTATAAGCATCGTAAATATATGCTGGTTGCCAAGCACCCAAATATCGATCCTGTGACTCTGGGAATGCTGCAACAGTTATAAGTGTGAAGACTGGTTGTAAAGTGTCTCTCCCCCCCCCCCCCCCCAAGCACCATCGTTACTTCAAACAGTTTTGAAACAAATAGTTGTAAATTGAAGATTACCTTGAGGGGACTGGAGGCTAAAACACATGGTTGCTGGAATTGGGTGTGTTTAGTTTAATGAAAAGAAAAGCCCTTCATTTCATTAGGGGGTGACCTGATAGCAGTCTTCCAATATCTCAGGGGCTGCCCCAAAGAAGAGGGAGTCAAGCTATTCTCCAGAGCCCCTGAGGGCAGGACAAGAAGCAACGGATGGAAACTAAATCCAGGAGAGAAGCAACTTAGAACTAAGGAGGAATTTACTGACAGTGCAATTAATCAGTGGAACAACTTTGCACAGAAGTTGTGCAAAGCTTTTAAGAAGAGATTGGACAACCATTTGTTTGAAATATAGGGTTTCCTAACTGAGTGTGAGGTTGGATTAGAATAGCTCCAAGATCCCTTCCAAAGCCTGTTATTCTGTTACCTGTATTTTACTCTCTTTTTCCAGCATAAAGTCAATAATACTTAACATTCTCTTCATAAAATTTTCAGCCTTATTGATATTATTTCTAGCACTGGAACTATCCTTTGATTTCTATGGACCTTAGGAAAAAACATACCTTTTAGCCTGTATAGATTTTTTTGGATGTCTTCACTTAGTACAGGGGTGTCCCATCTTGGCAAATTTCAGATTTGTGGACTTCAACTCCCAGAATTCCCCAGGCAGCATGGATGGATGGATGGATGGGTGGGTGGGTGGATGGATGGGGAATTCTGGGAGTTGAAGTCTACAAGACTTCCCTGAGTTAGTATATCTTTTCTTTCCTAATACTCACCAATAATTTAGTAACTGGACTCTTGGATTCAAAAAGTTATAGATAAATGTACATTCTATCACTGTTACCTTGATCTTAAAGTTTTAGAATGGAAATTTTCTGGAAATCTGTATTTTGATTCTTTGTCTCAGAATATATTAGAGTTACATAGAAGATTTGGGTCTTTGGATGAATTGTCGAGATTTTTACTGTTGAACTTTATTGGATGATGTCGAGTTTTTATTGTTTCCCATGTTAAATTATCTTTGCTGCCATTGGCAGATTTATACTTACAATTTCTACTGATATCCCCAGTTGGGGCAATTCTCATATCCAGTTTCAGAAATATTGAAGTGATTCTAATTCTTAGAGAAGCTGCATTTATTTAGTCTCTGGTGAGTTCTTTAGGAAATTCCCCATTAGAATTGTTGTTTCCAGCAAAACTTTTGCACTTCTGCAATTCTTGGATCTTCCCACAGCTACTACTTCCATTTCCTCCTTGTGTGTGAGCTGGTGCTGCCTTAGCTGCAAAGGAGCAATATAGCATATACTGCACCGTTTGTGCAGCCAAGGCAGAAGAAAGGTTGAGTTGTAATTGGGAATTGGAGAAAAGGATATCATTCTAGAATTCTGAGACATCCCATGAGTGACCAGATCAAAAGTAGTTTTGGGTCATAACATGAATTCAGTTGGGTAACTTATTACCACACAATATCTGGTGACATGAATGGATTGATTAGATTCTGTAGGAACAAAACAAGTCACTGGTTACTTCTGATGCTAGTTTAATGGAACTATCATCAGAGAAGTCTACTTGAAGACATTTTGCTTCTCATTCAAGAAGCTTCTTCAATTCAGAACTGAACTTGAAAAGGCACCTGAGGCTCTGCCAAGTGACCTCTTGCGTGCCGACAGAAGTGGCTGTGCGTGCCACTTCTGGCACGCATGCCATAGATTTGCCATCACAAGTATAGAGTAAATCTACAACTTCTATGCGTTATCCCACTTGTTAAGAAAATGCATAGAAAATCAATAAAAAATGTATAGAACGCCTTTCATCCGCTAAGGACATTCAAGATTTGCTATTTTGTGGTGAGTGAAACACATCTGGAAATCAAAGGTGCTTGGACACAGCTTTAGAATGTTACATGTGTGTTTTTCTTTAAGCCCAAACAAGCAGAAGGCAGCTAACCCATCAGCAGAAGGTAGCTAACCCATCAAGATCAATTAAAGAAGTACAAAGCTGTAGCAATAATAGCCTTAAAAGGTCCTCAGGCAAATACTCTGGTGATCTCAGTTAAGATCAAGCATGTTGACTGGGTGATGGTAGATCCATTTTATGTCTTAATCTGGATGATTTAGTTTTGACAGCTGTGTGTGACTGTGGTCTACAGCAGAGGTCTGCAAATTTGGCAACTTTAAGACTTGTGGACTTCAACTCCCAGAATTCCTCCTCAGGTCATGTTAGCTCAGGAATCCTGGGAGTTGAAGTCCACAAGTCTTAAACTTGCCAAGTTTGGGGACCCCTGGTCTACAGTGTAGCACAGGGGTGTCAAACTCAAGGCCTGCGGGCCAGATCCAGCCTGCGGGGTGCTTAGATCTGGCCCGTGGGGCCACTCTGGAAATAGTGAAGGACCAGCCCGCGATGCCTCCCAGGCTCCATTTTCACTGACAAAGGGCTGCAGGAGGATTCCCTCCAGGCCAGAGGTGATATTCAGCAGGTTCTGACCAGTTCTGGAGAACCGATAGCGGAAGTTTTGAGTAGTTCAGAGAATCAGTGAATACTGACTGGAGATTTTACAGTATCTTTCCCCTGCCACGCCCACCAAGCCACGCCCACAGAACTGGTAGTAAAAAAAATTAAATCCC